GCTTCGGTATACACATACATTTAAACATCATTATTACGTTCTTTCATTACGATCGTACGTCTAGAAATTAAATTATTCAACAAATACATAAGTTCTCATTATATTGCCAAGACTGCAGCGCAACCAAAGCGCAAACGCCTGTATATGCGTGTATGTGTGTGTGTGCGTGTGTTTGTTTGTATGTGTATGCATGTGCGTTTGTTTCTTTGTGTTTGTGTGTGTGTGTTTGTGTGTGTGTGTGTGAGGTTATGAAGAAGACTGACAGTTCGTAAATCGTAAAAGATGTTTACACTAAGACCTCGAATTTCGGAATGAATATTTTTAATAAACGAATTCATTAGTAGACTCTTAGGAATATCTAATAAATAAATTAGGATGTAGAGTATAAATACATAAGAAGTGGATTTGACTTAGGCCAAAAAGCAAATAAAATAAACTTTAATACCTCATCTCGTTATGTGATATATTGGAATATTGGAATCTAATGCATTCTTTTTATTCAATTTATTGATCTTCAGCATACCTTTGTCGACCCTATTCTATTATAAACATCTTTCTTTGCGGGAGATAATAAATAATTAATTTAAATAAATATTATGGTAAGATTTATGTTATCCCAGGTAAAAGTTACTGAGGTCCTTGTTTGTACGATAGAAAACGGGACGATTGTTGCGCGCTTGAAGCTCGCGATAGTTATTTCGTATTAGGTTGCCATTCGAGTCCTGGAGTATCCATAATTTGGATATATCTGCCAGGGATATGGGCAGAGGATCAGCAAACACTGTCCAAATGACGGCCTCGTTGCACTCAGGGGTGGTTAATGATCCCTTGTAAGTGAAAAAGTCACGCGTATTCAAGTCACCCAGCAACTGGCCTAGAGTCAGGGAGCCAGGCAAATCCACTTCAGCACCATATTCGACAATGTCTGGGACAGCATTGAAGATCTTCCTCAGACCTGGATACGCGCGATCCGGATTCTAAAATTTGCGATTCATGTAAGTCGAGATCATCATTATAGATCACCTGGAGCTTACTCTGACTATCTTGAACATGACGCCCAGCACCGCAACGCCGTCGATATGATTGAGGGCTTCCGTAAGATCTTCGTAGCGCGTGTTGCGATGCACAATGTGCATTTCGACATCGAATCGCCTTCGGTCGATCACATGCTCAGATCCACGGGTCACAGGCGAGCCCCAATGGAAATGCACCCCCTCGGCTACATATTGCCCTTTGAGCAGGCCGCCTGTGATGAAGGGCTTTTGGCCATTTCGCGTCTCTGGTATCGTCATTTCAGCTGCAATGCGAAATTTCTCAATGACTATATATGTATATATTATAATATTTATATCTCAGCCTACCTGTGTATCCTTTGTTGACCAATGTCAGCGGTCTATTCAGTCGAACGTCATAGTTGCCAAAATATATTCGTGGCAGCGGCACAATGAGTGACTGGAGAAAAGGGAAAGCAGTAAACGGCGTGCTTAGGCTGTGTATACCCCATACTATCGTACATGCGATAATACTAATAGTGAAAACTAGCTTCAAATTGCGTACAATTTGAGGTAAATTGGATCATTCGGAAGTAAGCTCTGGAAATGCGCACCATTTATCAAATTATCAGCTGTCAACGCTTGAGACGGCGCAGACAACAGGTTTTACGTATTCTGTGCTGTAATATGGTATGCTGCACTCAATTGTCTCACTATTGTCTGTAATCACGTGTGGGCTTAGCTAAGGCCTTCCGATCTTTATTGCGAATCTTTTCCGTAGTGCAAAATCCATTAGGTAAGAATTTTGCAGTCGCACAGATATTGCACACAGACTCTCACAGTGCGAACAGTAAATTGAGTTTGTGTAACGTCCGTCTGCAGCTAAAGAGCTCAAGTGTCTAAAATACTTATCGAGTTTATTATTTATAGCTATTAGAGCTAATGACTTGTAATTCAAACTCAATACTCCGGTATACCACAGATATCAGGTAAAACTGTATGCTCTACGTTTTAAAAGCTAGAGCTTTTGCTCATTTTGTGTTGAACCGCTCAAATATCAAACGGGAAAATACGCCCAGCCAATTTTTGATAAAAGTGGCTTTCCATAAGAGGTCGAGTTCAATCTTATAATTAATAGTGATGCTACAAATTTAGCGGAAGAGCCTAACTTAATGTATTTTCATTTTGGAATCTGACCAATCACTTCGATCAACAATTTCATTTTTCCAGGTTTTTTCTCTGCCAAGGATTACATTAGATATATGTATATTCGAAAAGCTTAGTAATGAATAAATAAAATATCGAACTAGACAAACGCGCCAAAGCTTTGAGCAGTTTCATTCAAATTAATCAAGTGAATTACATTATTAGGAGGAATCAATTTAATTAGAGAGTGTTAGATTTGCATTTTTGAATCAATAATAGCAAATACATTTGAATATTATTGGATTAATATGTTGGTTGTATCAGGCAGGTAACTCAATATGACTTGACTGTAATATTTTTGTCAGCCTTTAAATAGTTTTTCTAATATATAGAAACTAAGCAATTAATTTTGCGATTTATGGGATGCACGAGATTAAGGGAAAGTCATCGTAACATAAATCATAAACAGAAAATAGCTTTGACCATCCAAATGTAGCAAACCCTTTGCTCTCTGAGTTTGGTAAATCGTTTTATAAATATGTGTATGTATATAGAGACTTACACTATCGACAGAGAGCTTGATAGGTGTTTGACGAAAGCCGGTAGCGCAAATTCCTTGCCAGTCAGCGCCGTTTTGATCGAAATTCCAATCTGGGTTTTGAGTAGTACCATCTAAAATTTGTATATGAGATTATATTAAAACGATTAATAAATAAATAAAATATTACTGTTTGAATTGTATTTAATTAATCACTTTTAATTTCTCAAAGTCCATGCTCTATTTAGATAGATACCATCTAAACATATATATTATGTGAATGCTTAGAAGCTGAATCATTATTCATAAGTTTTCACTTTTATTCATGAGGATTGCCGTTTCTCTCTTATTTTTCGCACGCATTTCGACTCTTTTGGCATTTTGTTTTCTTAGTTTTTTCTTTAAGCTTATTAGCCATATTAATCACTTATAAATAGATGTAATTTAATTTATAATCATCAGTTTTCGACGCAAGACGTCACCGTGGCCAGCATCCAATTACCATTTGTTGGATTTTGATAGGCGAGTGGCAGCAGGAAGAACAGTTTTTGGAGTAGATTAACACCCATGTTTGGCTCGGCTGGGAATACTTCTTATTGGATTTGGTCTTTTCACTCCACTTTAAACACTGTTTTTTTCGTTTTCTCTTTCGAACTCCCACTGCACCCTTGACTACTGCGGTTACCGCTTGAGCGCAACTAAAGTCGCTCTGGACACGCGCCGAATCTTTTATACCCGAGCTAATGCGCCGGCACCGCCGCCGCAGTCGAAGAAAAAGGCCCGCAATGCGATAGCAGAGCGCGTGTCGGAGCACCTTTACCGGGTGCCAGGGGTTCTCTAATTTACAGATTTAGACTTTTTTTTGGGTGCTGCCACAAATGTAAATCTTATGTAAATGAGAAGCACTGTGGTGATCTACAAAGACCGAATACTCAAACTAACTAGGAATACATACATATACATAAATAGCATATATAGCTTATGTTAACAGTATCAGCTGTAGCTTTCCAATACATTTGATAAGACAAACAATCAAACTCATATGCAAATTTTGGCAATAGTCTTTGTTAAATTTGGCAAAAGTCACTCTTAAATGCCAAATGATAAGCTGTCCAGCTGCCTTCTCTTCTTCATAGAAATTCGT